AGGTAAGGACTCGTCAATCGGTTAAACCGGAGTTTCCTCCTCGGGTTGAGTGCCAGCGGTAGAGGTTCCTTCATCTATCGACTCTTGAATCTCTTCAAGTTCGATTTGCCACCCACTATCTCCTTGGCTTATGAGTTCTCTCTCTCGGAAAACTCCTCTCCTCGCAACAAAGACAACGTTGTCCTTGGGTCTATAGAAGAGATATCCAAAGGATGTCTGCGGGAAGCCGATGAAAATACATCGATCACTTCGAGGTTCAAGCTTGTCGTGAGTATCTCATCTTACGAACGCCTCGCAACCCCAAACCTTGATGTGTACCAACGAGGGAGCTTTCCCTGTCCACATCTCGTGAGGTGTTTTGGCAACCTTCTTAGTATGGACTCGGTTAAGGATATGGGCGGCAGTCTCTAAGGCATACCCCCAAAAGAAGATAGGTAGTGAAGCATGACTCATCATAGAGCGAACCATATCCCATAAGGTTCGATTACGCTTTTCTGCCACACCATTCAACTGCGGTGTCCTAGGGGGCGTCAATTGCGAAACTATTCCACACTCCTTGAGATAATCGTGGAACTCAAGACTTAGGTACTCTGCTCCTTGATCGGATCGAAGCATCTTGATTTTCCTGCCCAATTGATTCCCCACTTCATTCTTGAACTCTTTGAACTTTTCAAAGGTTTCTGACCTTTGCTTGATTACATAGATATACCCATATCTACTATAATCATCAGTAAAAGTCACATAGAAGCGGTTCCCATCCTTCGTGGTTGATCTAAAGGGTCCACATACATCGGTATGTATTAGGTCTAATAGACCCTCACCCCTTTCACAAGTACTCGTGAAGGGTGACTTAGTCATCTTTCCAAGTAAACAAGACTCGCATGTTTCATCTTCCCTAAGGTCGAAAGACTCCAACACTCCCTCCTTTTGGAGTTGGGCTATGCGTTTCTTGTTGACATGTCCGAGACGACAATGCCACAAGGATGCCTTATCCATACTAGTGGAAGAATCAATATTCAAAACATCATTTCCTAAGTTATCAACAATCATAACAGTTTCATATATTCCATTACATGGTATAACTTCAAAGTAAAAGACACCATTTAGATAAGCCAAAATAGAACCATTCTCATTATTAAAAGAAAATCTAAATCCCTGTCTATATAAACCATGAAATGAAATGATGTTTCTAGCCATTTCTGGCGAATAGCAACAATTTTTCAAATCTAAACATAAATTATTCCTAAGCACTAAAGAATACACTCCAATCTTGGTCACAGGCGACGATCTTCTGTTCCCCATGATTAGATTGATCCTTCCTTGCTCCACATCCCTACTTCTTGTTAGTCCCTGCACATTAGAACAAATGTGATAACCACAACCGGTATCAAGAACCCAAGAAATAGCATGATTAGAATCGTTAGATTTAATTGTGTATATACCTGCGAAAGATGGCTTGATCTTTCCTTCTTTGATTGCTTGCAGGTATTCTGGGCAGCTTCTCTTCCAATGTCCTATCTTGTGGCAGTGGTGGCACTCTGCCTCCTTCGGGTTAGGACAGGGCTTAGTGGGATCAACTTTGGTCCCACTAGAAGAGGCACCATCTCGGGCTTTAACCTTGCGATAGCTCTTTGATGAAGCCTTCCTCTTCTTTCCCTTTCCTTGACCAATTGCCAAGACAGGAGCAGCAGGCGGATTGGGAGTAGGTGCAGCAGACTTGTCTTTGAAGTTGCTCTCGGCGACCCTCAAGAGACCTTGGAGTTTGCTTAGGGTGACCTCCTCTTTGTTCATGTGGTAGGTCATCCTAAATTGGTTGTACATCGGAGGCAAAGAGTGAAGCACCATGTCGATCGCCAAGTCTTCCCCAAACTCAACATTTAACTTGCGAAGGTGGTCTACATACCTTTTCATCTTTTGCAGGTGCACAGTAAGAGATTCTCCATGATCCATCTTAGCGGAAATCATGTTAGTGAAAATCTCATAACGCTCTTGTCTCGCGTTTTGGTGGTATCTCTCCAATAAGTCTTGGTGCATCTCGTACGGGTACATGTCTTCGGAGTTCATGGTGGCAATCATGATGCAATGTACCTTCGTTGAATCTCGCTCATGAGTCTCAAAAGCGGTGATTTCGGCCGGAGTAGCGATTTCGGGGTTGATCTTCTCAAGCTTTTCATCGAGGACATACTCCTTATCCTCATAGCGAGCAATGGTGCGAATGTATCTTATCCATTCGCTAAAGTTCGTTCCATCGAAGGTGACCTTTTGGCAAAGGCTCATCAACATGAAAGAACTAGCAGCAGCGTTGTTTGCGTTCGACATCTATAGAAAGGACAAAGATAGATTAGAATAAGAATCCCTAATTATCACCCAATAAGAAAAATTAGGTTTAGGATCCAACAATAACATTTACATACTAGAAAAGGGATGCCGTAATCTAACATGAAAATAAATTGAAGGTATGTGAATGACGATTCAATAATTCTCCATCACAAAACCTAAACTATTAGTCCTAAGTGTATTGAGAATTCCTAGGTTCGGATGAGATTCATTGAAACTATTCAATGGCATGTTTAAATCTCGATATGCCCCTCTTGTTTGTGACTGGGATACCGAGGATTACAAAGCGGGTGTGAATTACCATGCAAATTCACATGGTGCCTTCATTGTAACGATCACCTATTCGATGTGCCGGTAAACCACACACGCTCCATCGAACTATGATAAACAATGAATCACCCTTTGCCATCTTTGCTTAGAACCAATTAGTGTGCCTGTAAACCACATGCGCTCCACTAACTTCTTAGCAAGGGTGCAAAGTGTAATTTCATGGGATTGCATCAATTCACTTTTCGTAAAGTAACTAAGATTGGAAAATTTAAAAAAAAAACGTGTAGTTACTTTGTATTACTTATTATACTTTTAATGAGAGGATGAGGTTGACCAATCCTACCCGTTCGGCTAACGACCCTCCACCAATCAAGCAAGCGGTGGGTGTGAGTGTACACCCATTAAGCGCCATTTTATAGGCCACAACCTTATACCCACCTTATAGATCGGCTTCGTGAATGAGACCTAGTAACGGTATGACTAGCATTTAGTTATACATATATATATATATATATATATATATATATATATATATATATATATATATATATATATATATATATATATATATATATATATATATATTATTCTAGTAATATCATATTAGTATAGGGTTGTGTTTTAAACCTTTTAAAACGTAGGGTTTGAAATATAAGTTGTCTAAATTAAAACTTTTAATCACAAATATAAATTTCAAAACGTGAGGGCAAGTTTTAAACATTTAAAACCTGGAGGATCAAATAACAAATAATTCCAATTAACAATTAATATCCTAATTATCTATATTTGATTTATCCAAGATTTCTTTTAAGATAATTACCAAAATAATCAAAATAATTAATTAATTATCATATAAGGAAATTAAATATTTTATTAGATGATAAATATCTTTAATTAGATCAAGATTATAGTCATATATATATCAAAAAAATCGGATTAGGGTTGATCTAATATGATTAAGGTAAATTTCCATAAGATAAACATGAAAAAATCTCGGTTTTGCTAAATCCTGACGCCCGGACTCGCCGAGTACACAAAGGGACTCGCCGAGTCAGGCCAACTCGCCGAGTCCACTTTGGAACTCGCCGAGTCCATGACTCAAAACCCAAAAAGTTCGAATTTTGCAGGTTTGTTTCAGTTAATCAAGCAAGAATTTAAAGAAAACCAAGCTAGGCTCTGATACCACTGATGGGTTTTAGCCATAAGAACTTTCCTATGTGCGCATGCAAAACCCTAATGCTTGGATCTAGGCTTTCTAATTAAACATGCTTTGAATCCAAGACTTCTAATGACTATTTAGGTTAAATAACAACATTGAAACAGATCTAGAACCATACCTTTGAATTCCTTGTTGATCTTGTTGTCTTGGAGCTTCTAGAGTCACAAATGTCACTCCTGTAATGGCTTACAAACACCAATAGCAAGGAAAATGATTTAGGAGAAAGGAGAGGGTAGGAAGTCATCCAGAGTTCTCTTACTTTTGATGAGATGCCGATTTCCCTTACCCATGGGGTCTATTTATACTTGTAGACTCCTTAAGGGTTACAGTCTAAACCCTAATTGCATAATCTTCTCTTAAGGCTATCCAAAATCCATTCCTAGATAACATCATGGACGATTTTGAGCTATCCTTTAGCTCCTAGAATTCGTCCAATCCATATCTATATGGATTTACAGTCTTAAGTTTAACTATCAAACAATTGACAGTTTATACCCTCTTATTTAATTAATCTCTTTAAGTCACCAAATTAATTCCAATTAATTCTATGACTTATATTAATCAAATAACTATATATTATTCTTTATAATATTTACTCTCTCTTAATAAATCAGCCTATCAAGTTGCTATGGTGAAGGCAACCCAAAAGGACCATGCACAACTGGGTCAAATACTTGCCTAATATAGCTGCAGTCTTAGACACTATTCCAACAGTAACTTCTTCATTATAACTCGGATTTCGGCGTTCTTTATATGTACGGAACCCTTGTGACATATACTATAACTTGGTTAAGATTAATCCTTCTACATAATCTTCCATCAAAAAGTCATTGTTGATGCTTATTGTTTCTAAATTGACTAGCCCGAATCTGTAGGTGTTACACATAAGTATGAATCAGAGATGTTACCTTCATAGTAGTCTGAGTTGTAATGGGCTCTGATACCATTGGTTGAGAACTAACTCCTGTAGTTTTGTGTTCGACTTACTCTGTTCTCCGAACTTCGTAAATAGTATGAGACTCCAAATGCTCTTCCACAACTGGAGATGGTGATCGCGGCTTACGAGCAGCCTTTTTGACTTTCTTCTTCAGAGTTTGAGCTGGTTCGGAAGGACCAGCCTTTGCCTTTCATATACCTCCCTTCTTAGGCTTATTCTCTTCCTCCAAAGCCTTTTTCATCTCAATGTCAAAGGGTGAGGACCTGATGCAGGTTTCTTCTGATACTTGTTGATTAGCTCGTTGTCTATTGGAACACAATTGAGCATAGCCTCTGGAAGAGATCCAATAAAGTTGAACTTCGTAGGATCAGACATGATGAAGTTTAAAATATGAAAGATTGGAATAGTTGCTATGATACATTCCTCAATCACCGTAATGTTGAGTTTAGTGATGGCTCTATGGACGATGATAGACCAGAACCGAGCACAAGAAATCTTCGAGTGTCGTGTTGTGGAAAGAGTACTCTGAACAAGTTGTACCCAAAGGATGGAACCATAATCTAGCTTGATTCCATGGTAGAGTCCGTAGATAAAAGTGCAGAAAAACTTACTTGCACTATCTGAGCCCGTGACCCACTCTGAAAACTTTTGAAAAGAAGGGTAAAGAGGCCATTCCACAACGGAGGAAGGTTAGGCTTCTTGAACTTGGGATAAAATGGCAAGATGTACCATGTAACCCATCTGATAAAACATCTCCAGGATTGTAGAAGAAAAGATAGACTCCAGATCAACCAGATCCCTAGCTTGAGAAACCCTAGCAATCGGCTGAATCGAGGCTTGGAGATTGATGTTTTGTGGGATTCGATCTCAAAAGTAATCACTGACCCACCTTCCTAATAACTTGTAGTGGAGTATGCCCTGTATAGATGAACCAAGGGGACATTCTCTGCCATGCTGAGAGCCAGAGCCAAAGGAGAGTGACGAAGACACTCAATGATCGGTTGGAGGGAGACACCATATTTGGATGAGTTGAAATCCAAGATGAGATTTTGGTTTTCTTTGAAGTTTAGTAGTCCTGATGAAGTGGTTTGGTCAGCCACAGATTGAGATTCAGAAAGAGTAGCCATTTATGAAGATGGTGAAGATGAACAGTGTTTGTGTGTGTGTGTGAGAGAGAGAGAGAGAGAGAGAGAGTTTCTTGCTGGAGAATTTGAAAGCTTTGAAGGTGTTAAGTGATAATCAAGCGTCAAGTTCCCTTTTATACGGTGTGACAGGTGAGAGAAATTCAGCGTTTGGCACTTCCAAATACTGTAAAAGTAGCCTAAAAAGACGTGACATCTAGAGTGTGGACAGACCCAATCTGATAATAATAAAGACTAAATGCATGATAAATTAATATTGACACAACACCACAAATATCTTAACATAACCACCTCATGAATACAATCACATGCAACAAAGCTTAAATAATCCATCGAGTAAAAGACTCATCCCTACATCGGTTGGACTCATACAATAGTTGCTCAATAGGGTCAAATCTATCACTCTGAGATTATTTAACCTATGCAACATGTGAATCACTAGGAGTTCCATAAAGCACAAAGCAATCAACATTCAAGCATGAAAAATGTAACCACTATACCAACTAATCAAGCCATTCTATCTGATTATCTGAAAACTATACTAGTATGCAACTTTAACAGCTCAAAAAATCAGGCATATAAAGACATCTCTCCTAGCATAAAAATCCTAAGCAGATCATTAGTCATAATATAGCATGAAATTCTCATAACATATAATCATAACATACATGTATGGGTATTCTGGGAATCACTTACTTGAGCTCGGTTGATTTCACGCACCACATCCCCATTTGTCTTTATAAAATCCCTTTTTGTAATTTATTCCTTTTTCAAAATCTTTTTACAAACTCATTTTCTTTCAAAATATTACTAATTCTTCAGTTGAGTTTAGACATACCCGAGAGTGTGCCTCAATCCCTCAAACCAAGTTCTTATACCAACATGTAATGACCTAAAATTATGAGGTAAAATTTTCATTTTTAATTCAACCAATACATTAATTGTCTTTAAGTCAAAATTCGATATCATTTTTCTAAATATTCAAAAGTACTTTATAAGAAAACAATTATCAGAGTATAATCTCAAAATCATCATGATGCAGAAACATGGGTGGATGCGTTGCAATCACACCGAGCCCTTCACTTATGAACCAGAAGTACCTGAAACCATAACCATAAAAACTGTAAGTACAAAGTTTAGTGAGTTCCCAAAAATACCATATACCATACATAATAATCACATACTGGGCCCCCAGTCCTTCATCGGGCCTTGCCCGGTCCTCGGGTCTCGCCTAGCATCGAGCCCTGCATATATGTCAGTCATCAGGACCCGTTTGGCATCATGCCTCGTCCGGTACACATATAATCATATAAACATCTAATCATATTAACACATGTGATAATGACAAAGAAAATAGCATATCATACAGTTATCGAGCCCCACCCAACATCGGGCCTTGTCCGGTAAACATAAAAACACATACTGATAACCGACATATAATATACTCATCAGACCCTACCTGGCATCGGTACCATCACATAACACATGCAAGAGTCACACAGACACCTAGCATTTTAACATATAAACCATGGGTTGGCATTGGTGTCTTCTGAAATTACCCGAATTTGCATACGTTAAAGATGCTAACTTCTGTTAGATGAACAATTATTTCATAGGATTATTTAGGGTTAAGGTTATATAATGAAATAAATTAAATAAAAATGATATTAATTAATATATAAAAGATTTAAAAAAAATAATAAGAGGAAATAATTCAAATTAAACAATTGTATAGACAAAAATGAGGCACGTATAATTTATTAAAAAGTTTGTGTAAGATCTGCATGGGTTAAAATGATAATAAAACAAACTTAAATTGTTATGTATTCTAGGGTTTGGGTAGGGCGTGTGAAAAAAATGAAAATTGAGGAATTTGTTTGCAAACTCATCCATGACCCCATCAGCTTGGATCCACGGGATGTCTCCAATACATCAGTTTCTTCTCATGGGCCTATTACGTCTTTGTTTTGCATCGAGCAAGGGAAACCAAATTGAACGTAAACAGTCCTTGAGAAGCTCGATCGATTAGGCTCTCCCTGCTTTCATTTCCTAGGCTTTCACGTACAAAAAATCAATCTTTGTTCCTCAGACCGCAATCGACAATTAATTGAAAAAAAAAAAAGAACGATCGCATGAGGGACATGCAATGGGAGATTAAGGGAGCATCAATCGATTCCATGTGAGGTGTGTGCGAGGGTGTTCCATCGGTAGTGAAGGAAACAAAATAAAAAGGAAATCGATCAGAGGGAGGAAAAGGGAAGGACTAATTGTGAGGAAGGAGTGGGGAAATTGGCTGCTACGAGCATTGATCATTCCAACCGGTAAGTCCTTGATTTTTCCATTTATTGTGTTCACGCTTCAAGTTCTAGCAATTGGATTGGAAATTTCATGTTGAATTGCTTCCATTGGTGTTATTGGTCTTGTGTTCTTTCATTTCAAATCCCATGATTTCCTTGCGGGTTCGATTGTGGTTGGATAATTGATCAACCAATCTTGGTTAAGTTCATGATTCTCCATGCCCATGTATTCTTGTTCCAAGTACTTGATGAAATAGTTAAATCATTAGTCAAATTGCTTCCTTTCGGTGATATGCTTCTTCTCTTTTGAATCACCAATCTTGTAGTTTTATTTATATGATCTTTCTACATAAAAGAATATGTTTTGAGCCATCCTAAAGGTCTTAATATGAGGCTTAATGGTGGAGAAAACTCAAGCCCTAGTGATGTTTTCCCTTTTAGCAAAATACTTTGTTTTTCCCATATAAGCAATGTACTTTGAATCATGGTTTGAGGTTGAAAATTGTTATTTTAACTTCTTGACATGTTGCTACTGTCAGGCACTCAATTTCCTTCTTTATAGTTGATTTTGGTTAAGGCTTATTGAGTTAAGTTGTCCAAAACAGTCCGTGAATGGAGTCCAACTTTTCTGATGAAATTAGCAAAGTTTAGTTATGTTCTTGGTGTTTTAACTTGTATCCCCCCCCCCCTTAAAACTTAAGAAAACATGAAAATACATGGGTATGAACTCACCTTGAGTGATTTCAGTAGATAGATGATGGAGAAAAGAAGTGTTCAACTCAAGAACACTTGGGAGATGCTTGAAGATTTGAGGATATAACAACAAATATGATGATATTTGTGTAAGAAATCTATGATTTGGATGAAGGATAGTAGAATATCTAAGTGTAGGAGGAAGATACTTACCAAATGTGGAGGAAAAATCTAAGATCAACCCTTGAATCTCGAATTTTTAGAGAGAGGAAGTGAGAGAGAAAATATGTTTGATCTTTGGTGGAAGAATGAGAAAATGAGAAAAGTGTGAGGAGAGAGGAGAGTTTTCTAGCCTTTGACCAATTGTGTGGTTGGAAAAAGGTGGCAAAAGTACAATGAAGTGACTAGGTATAGGCTGATGGGGAATAGTGACATGGAGTGGGTATGGGAGGTTGCTTGTGTCACAGAATAAAGAAAAGTCAACACTCCACCTCTTATACTTCACCCACTCTTCTTGGATAAGGTTTATTCCCAAAAACGTGGATAATTAGTAAATATGGGGCCTTATATGTTAAAATAAAGTTTTGGGTGAAAATCTCGCGTTAAAACAATTAAAAACGGGCCTAAAACGCAAAACTAATCGAAAACTGGGTGAAAAGAAGCTCCATGCGAAGCCTCTCAGTCCTAGGCCGAGGTTCGGTCCCTTCTGTTGCTGGGCCGGAGGCGAAATGGAGCGAAAGGGTAGGAGGCGAAATGGACCAAAAGGGTAGGAAGCGAAATGAGCCGAAGGTAGTTTCGGTCCCTCAAACTTGGTTTGGCCCGAGAGGGAAGGTTCGGGTTCGGTATGCTTAGCTTCGGTCCGAAGGGAGGTTCGCTTCTGACTAGTTCGCTTCTGACAAGTTTGTGTCACACCCCAAAACCAGGAACGGCGGAAACGTTCTGGGGCGGAGGACGTCATGTATAATATCAACAACAATGTAAAGTAGTAAACAAGCAACAACATCATCCATTGCATTAATAATATAATTATTATACAATGGTGTTCTGTCAAATTTTGATAAACACTAAAGCATAAATCAAAATGAAAGATAAGTCTTGAACAAGCTCCATCTTCCTTTCTCCTTGCATCGGTACCTGTCTATGATGACCTGAGGATACAAGTAATTTTGAAAGCGAGTATCAGCTTTAAAGCTGGTGAGATCATAAGTATTTAGTGTCTTAATTTGTATGTGAGAAAATGTAAGTATATGTACTTAAAAGTATTGAAAGTGTATATGAACTGTAAGTGTTTGAAAAACCCTAGAATCCCTATGATTCCTATTAATAACAAAAGGAGTCTTCTACCAAGACCTAACTGTTCTGAATGTAGTCTTCTACCAAGACCTAACTGTTCTGAATGTGTGAGTCTCTTGTAAGAGGATGTATTTTCCAAAGTATAACTATCATTATTCAAAAATATAGTTTGTACAATAATGTTTAAGTGAGGTTATCACTAAAAATATTTAATGGAAAATCAATGTAGTACTATGGTGTAGTGTCCAACTACAACCGTACTTATTACCTTAAATCTAGGGTAATACTTCCAAGTACTGTAGTATTTAATAAAAATAACTACATCGGTACTCAACTGCCTTATTTGAGGGATAAGGTATAATGTGATGTCTAGATCCCAGACTATACGCTCCCCTATCAAAGGGATTTTGGGACCTACCCACGACCCCTGCATGAACGCAAGCCGTGAGCATCTACATTACCGAATGATCATGTATACTCGATATAACTATCACAATTGTGGTGTGATTCATCAGTATAGTTAGATCCTGAACCGGTTCCGTGCTATAGCACCTAATGACGTCTGTTCTATGTATATGTAAGTGTGATCATGTAATTGTACTCAAGTAAGAGCGATCATGTAATAGTACAGTAGTGTACTGTAATGTTCTACGTGTGCTAGCTGTAATGTGTGTTCTCTCTATCTAGCAAGTATTGTAATGT